ATGTTGTGTGTTTTAATAGACCGGTGACGACCGCACAGAGTAGCATTATAACAGAACTAAATGTATCTTGTATGTAGGGATATGCCGGTATCAGATTTTCATGTTGCGATTAATTGCTCATGCTTTTATCACGGTCTACGGTATTATCACGGTGTTGACATTTAGTTTAAAAAAAGTGCTGTCATAATACAGTATAACAGGTTTGTTTATTTTGAATATGCGCCCTCTAGCGGCGAAAATTACATACTGTGCCTTTAAGAAGAGCTGCAGACATAGTCAGGCTTTTACAGTGTGGATCAGATCCTCCTCTGAGGCTGATATACTGATGAGGCCTACTTTATTACATGATCAAAACTTTGCTGCTAATCCTGTTTCACACTCAATCTCCTCATGTCTTCTGTCTCTGGTTGATCGTTTAGAGTGTTTTATCCAGTCAAAGCTCTTTTAGTGTAACTGTAGCTGGAGCTTCTCGTGTCAAATCTTGACTGGTTTTTATCAAGTAAGCGTCAGAATAACTGCAGTAATATCTCCAGATGAACTCTTACTGGACTGAAGCAGCTCAGCTTTACTTGATTCTCCATCAATCATGTTTTAGAGTCTCAAATCTGATCCTCAGGATCTTTTGAGGAGCGTTTGTTTCCAGAAGCTTTACTTTCACTGTTCCTCAGCGGAGGAATGATCTTCACAAGCCTCCAGAACATCTCACATCTTCTGAGGAGCTTTATTTCTTCAGCTCTCAATCACTGCATTATATGTTTGGAGCATTTCAATCTCATCTCACTGAGACAGATTACTGGAGATATAGAGCGACGACTGATATTTAGATCATTGTATGTCAGCATCTGCTGCACTGTTATAAAGATCTCATTGATTTACATCACAAGCATCAGAATTTCAAATATCAGCATCTGCACTAAATTGCTCTGTTTGAGTCTCTGAATAAAATTGAGCTGTTTGTCCTCCATATTCTCACTATTTCAGACTATATGAGCCATATAAGCCTGATGATCAAATATGATACTCAACGTAAAACATATGCAAACTTTTGTTTAAAGGTACAATAAACTGTTAGATTTAAAAAAAAACTTTTTGTTTTATTTGAAAACTTTTGAAAAAAAAGATACATTTCATCTGTGGTAGTTTGGTGCCATATTTGATAAAACCAAAATGCATTAATTTCTGCATAACAACTCTCTGAAATTAAGCATCTTGAAGTGTGCCGGCATAGATGAGATCTGGTGCTAATCGTGGGATAGTTTGCATTGGCATGAGTCGTGCATGCTGAGCTGCTGACTTTCACGCGGTACTCATATGTAATGCTGTGTTAGCCGCGATGCTTAACGCTGTTGTTGAAGAACAGAACCCTTTCTGCCGGTGGATTTGTGGCTCAGTTTGAGATTCTCTCGTAAGCGTTAGTGTTGGTCTGGCAGATGTTGTCATGTGAGGAGGATTAAAGGCTGTCAGTCGTCTCCGCAGGGTTAGTGTAGTTCTGTGAAGTATGTACTCAGACGCTCCGGGAATGTCGGGAATGTCGGGCTCAGAGCCTCGGCTCACTCTGAAGGGTGTTACAAGTGCCACAGTTTCAGATATTTCATATCCTGCAGATTGTGATGTGATGCATGATTGTGAATAATATGATAGATTTTGATATGTAGCCTCAATGCTGGTCATCGTTTCTGTTTGCTTATGATAACGTTTTTCAAGCTGTTGTTTGATATAAGAAACATATTTGATCATAAAGTATATTTCGCTGTTTAAATGACATTTTATTAATGTTTGATCGGACTGATAAAGCAGGAACGCTGCGAGGATTTTTGACAACGTGTGGCATGTTTTGTTTTTTTAATAAATTGCTTATCATCAGTAGGGTTGCAAAAAGGTGGAAAAGTTCCAGTAAATGTCTGATATATTCCAGAAATTTTGGAAACTTTCCAGGATTTTTTTGAATATTCCAGGGATTTTTGTAAAGCTTCCGGAAATTTTCCACCCCTTTGCAACCCTAATCATCAGTAATAATAAACATCAATTATTGCACGCTGATTAAGAGACAATGAAGAACAAATCAAGTTTATTAAAACAACTTCATATGATAAACATAATATCTAAACGTGTCATTATATTGCTGCTGTCGAGATGTCAAGCCCTAAAGAAGACGAACACGAGGAAGAAAGACATGAAATATGAATGTGTTTCGTCTCCTGAAGTCATGTGTTGCATTTACTCTGAAGCTGTGATAAACCCACTTTTCACTCATAGTTGCATAGAATCCAGTCAAGATGAATATAATAGAACACTTTACAATAGGCTGCATTCGTTACCATTGTTAACTACATAAGTTAACATGAGCTATCAGTGAAAAACATTTCTAAATATTAATTTCAATACTAATTTCAGCATTTACAAATGCATTGTTTAAATCTAAATTTCTATCTGTTATTTATTTATTTATTTTTATATTGCTCATTGTTAGTGTTAGATAATGCG